AGATATAAATAGTTTTAGATAATTAAAGGCTAAGCACTAGTCAATAGGTACTAATTATATGAAGATATTGTCATCTTTTGCAGGAGGAAGCTAAACGAGTATCTTGTGAGCTGGCTTGTTTAGCTGACGAGCTAGTAAAATTAAGAGTAAAGTCCATCACCGGTCCCTAAACTTATACCGCTGTGTCATCGCGGTCCCTAAACTAGCAAATCGACCGTTCAGGTCCTCAAACTTGTTCAATTGTGTCATCCCGGTCCCTAAACTTGCAGATCACTCGTTTAGATCCTCCAACTTGTTCAGTTGTGTCACCCCGGTCTCTAAACTTAGATTTGAATATCATCTGGATCAAATAGGATGGTCTAAAGACTTTATATTTAAAAATAATTCATAACTTTTTCATGTGAACTCTAATGAAGACAAACTTTATATCAAACTCGTAGCCCTCGACGCGATCTACAACTTTGTAGTTGATTTTTTTTTATTTTAAGTCATTTTTTATCCCAAAATGTAATTTTAAAATTAAAATTTCAAAATCTATAAACATGCAACAATATTTTGGGACCCTAAACAGTTTTAATTCAAAAACTTATCAACTACAAAGTTGTAGGTCGCGTCGAGGGCTACCATTTTGATATAAAGTTTGTCTTCATTAGAGTTCACATGAAAAAGTTATGAATTACTTTTTGATATAAAGTTTTTAGACCGTCCTGTTTAGTGACCGGGGTGATACAACTGAATAAGTTGGAGGACCTAAATGAGTGATCTGCAAGTTTAGGGACCGGGATGACACAGTCAAACAAGTTTGAGGACCTGAACGGTCGATTTGCGAGTTTAGGGACCGGAATGACACAACGGTACAAGTTTAGGGACCGGTGATGGACTTTACTCAAAAATTAACTTGATTCAACTTATTTATGACTATTAGTTCAAACCGATCGAGCCACAATGTTCAATTTTTTCCACCCCTAATTTATAAGGCAAAGACATGTGGGAATAAATAATTTAGGATTTTTTTTTACTCTACATTCAAAAAGTTGAAGCTAAGTAATGAAAGCACGGAGAAAAATCCTTATTTAATTACAAAATTTAAATTGTAAAATTCAAAAATGCCAAATGCTTACTGTTTAGAACATCAGAAAACAGTTTGCTTTCAGCAATAATTTCAATCAGACTTGTTTGGATCCAATGTTGTTTTAGAAGTTTTGGAGTTTGGCATCCTCTGCAATTCTTTCCTCGGATTCTCTGCAGTACAACATAAAGGTTTATATGGGAAAGTAAGAAAGGGATGTACTTAAAAAGAAAAGAAAAAGAGGAAACAACAGACATGAGCTCTGTCCTGAAATGTCATCGGCGTACTACGCTTTTGCAAGCACCAAAATTTGAAGGGTTCCTTTCTTAATAAAACCAATTTTGAAGGTTGGCAGGCGCATGATCAACTAGATCAGTGTCCCTGGTAGAGGGTAGAATGGATGGGTGTATGTTGATGCGCCACAAATACATCCCATCGATTTGCTTATGCATATATGTACGATTTATTGGTAACCTAAAAATGACTTATGGGTAAAATTTTTATATACGTGTTCTTAGCAATTCAAAAGCAAATGCTACAAAATAAACTATGATGAAAAAAAATCACAAAATCAATTCCAAAATTAAATTTTAAAATTCAAGTTTTAGGTTATGAGCATAAGCACAAGCAAATCGATAGGGCTGTTGAACTTGTGAGAATCATGATACGGAGCAGCACAGTAATATTGCATTATGTTTGTCCAACAGTCCCATCGTTTCACCTAGAGCTGATTATAAGACATAACTTTTATGAGAGAAAGAAATATTTTTTTACAAAACATTTATATATGGTTCTTAGCGACTTAAAGTTATTAAAAGTCAATACTTCAAGATAAACGACAATAAAAATATATCAAAATCACTCTGAAATTAAATTTTGAACACAGCTAATAATTTGAAGAATTAATACACCATACTTCCTCCGTCCAAAAAAAAAGACAAACCCTGAGTTTCCATGTCCAACGTTTGACCGTCCGTCTTATTTGAAAAAATTATGAAAAAAATTAAAAAGATAAGTCATGTATAAAGTATTAATCATATTTTATCATCTAACAACAATGAAAATACTAATTATAAAAAAATTCATATAAGATAGTCAGTCAAACGTTGGACACGGAAACCCAGTGTTTGTCTTTTTTTTTTGAAAGGAGGGAGTAGAGAGCCAATTTGGATTGCTACCATAAATTTTGGTAGGGTAGCAAACCAAACATCTCTACTAAAACTCTACCAATGCCATAAATTTGGCTTTGCCTATAAACCTGTCTCTTATGGGTAAATTTTGGCTTCAATCCAAATAAACATTTTTAACTCTACCCTACCAAAATTTTGATAGTACCAAGACTTGTCCAAGATTTGACACTATCAAAATTTTGGTAGGGCATCAATCCAAACATGCCCTGAGCTCTAATATAAAATCTTTATCATTCATGGACGGAGGCAGTAGTTCACATCGGCGACATGGACCGGTAGATGGATGGAAAGCACAAGCAAAGCAAGTGCCTGCACTGCACGCGTGGCCGGCAGAGAGAATCCGGGTAGATGACTAGTTGCAGAAGATGATGGATATGGATAGATAGATAGTTATCGGGGCAGGGCATGATGGAATTGGAACGTAACGTTAGCCACGGAATTCGGGAACATGTGTCGCCCCAGGGGAGCCGATCGAACCGGCACAGGATTTTTTTTTCTCTTCTTTTCTTCTTTCTGTGATGTTACCACTCTGGTAGCAACGTGTTGTGCCATGGATGGCAGCTGAAGGTGATTGGGCTCATCATTGGAGAACTTGGCCTCATCGGTAAGCAACTTGTTTGAGCTGATTAGTCAAAGTTGTTTTTTTAAAAAAAGAAATTCAGCCAAAGCGATTTTATTGGTTGGCTTATTTTGCTTAAATGGCTTGACGAAGGATCTTTCACCTATATTTGATTAAAAGTACTTAGCCTAACTCAACGATACAATGGACTTTGGCCGAAAAGCTTTAGCCCAAACAGCCATCCGATGAGAATCCTTGTTGGGTTAAGTGCCGGCACAAGGTCTGGTTTACCTTGTAAGGCTTACCGTTGGGGTATATAGTGTTAAGGGTTTGGAAAACTCTAACAAGGTCTTTTAACAAAACATTTTTTTTAAGGATTATATGATATTCTATGTAGTAACCTAGCTCTTCTGGCCTCGCTAAATGGTACGGAAGCATTCTACAAGCAGCATGCATGAGATTATTTTTTTATAATACAATTCATTCAAAGTTACAACCAATTATTACAATGATAATGATAGTTGGTTTAAAAACCGTGAATTACAAAATCATAATTTGATTAAAAACAAGATAATTAATTAGACACCAACTAAAGACAGATATTTGCAAAGATGAAAAACAATGTAACAGCTTCTGCTGGTAGTGGTGGATTCCTTTTCATGTTTACTAAATGACAGTATGACACCTCGAGTTTACTGCGTTTGATGTGATTAGTAATCTTTGATTGCAAGTAAACAAGATAAAGTTACATTCATATTTACTACACGTTCAAATTTATAGCTAGAAATAACCTTCTTTTTTTTACAGAGCTAGCAACGTGCCAACGTGGGAGAGTGGCTTGGTGATCAAATGCATTCCTTGCGTTGCATCACCAAATACGAGCCCAATCCCTTTTTCTTTCCGTGCCGCGGCTTCTAAGTTGGGCCTTCCTTCGGCCCAGACCAAATTCGATCCAGTGATCTCATGTGATAACATATGGGCCTTCTTCTCCTCCGGCCTCCCTCCCGTAGACGATGTCTTGCCGTCTCCTCTCTGCGTCGAAGCATGAGATGACCGGAGAATTTTCCAGCGACACGGCGGAGCCGGCGTCTCCGGCGACCGGGCGCCGGTGGCGTTGTGATTGGTAGGCACAGCCAGGCCGAAGCCGCCGTCTGCCGGCGTGGGGGAAGACGATCAAGCCTGGCCTTGCTCGAACCTCAGTTTAAGCTCATCTTTTCCTACATAGGAACTTAGGAAGAGATGATTTCCCAATTCTGTCAACATAATTAATCCTTTATTGACAGAATATTCAAGACAAGTACTGTATTTCTTGATAGATTCAGGGCGTGATTGGTACCAATTTATGCTCTGCCAATATTTTGATTGTTTCAATAGTAATTTCTTGGTATTTGAAATGAAGCCAAATTTTAACCACACTAGGTATCTCCATCGGTCCAAAAGAAAAAGAGATCAACTTTTAGGTTTTAATCTAGACTTGGTGAAGTTGGTTTTTCTGGTATGAAGAACGTACTAGCTAGTAGAAAATCTGTTCTACTAAATTTTGTTGACACAACCTAATACTACCAATATTTTATTAGAGACATGTACAAGCGCGAGACAATAAACAAATAAATTGAACTTTTTTTGTTCTTTTGAGATGAACTTACATTTACTTCTCATGGAATTTCTTAAGAATTAAATTTGGCGCGATTCTGTAGATACACAAGAGAATTGAGAAAGCTGAGGGTTGAGCTACACCTGAATGAACAATATAGTTCAACAAATTTTCGGTTTGTTTTCTTTTAATGGGATTTTTGGTCTGTTCTTTTGCTACTGAAACCGTTCGGTTTCTCATTCTCAACCTGTTCAAAATCAACAGCCGATATTCAAATTTGGCTTGCAAATTTTCAACGGTTTTAGTCTAAAATGGTTAGGATATTCACAGAAAGAGTGCAACTTGCACCGTAAACGACTTTTGTTCCACTTCCACACAAACGATTTTAATAAAGCCTGTTTCCACGTAATTGTTCTTACACCTTTTTTACTTAAAAAGGCTTGGTTACATTTTTTGTAATTTGCGCGTTACATTTGTGTTAATTGATCTTAACTACTGTTGCGGATTAAGGCTACAATTTTAAGACTAAAATTGTGCAGGTTAGGCCAGTTCTAGCACCAGCAAACGAGGTACAAATGCTAGTTCAGGTGAAACAACTAGAACACCAAGCTTTCTCATAAGGAAAAGCACACAACAGATCCTTCATCCATCTGCGTGCCATAAATACTAATGCATATATTAGATAGCATGTCTCGACATGAAGTCACGAACCTTGCAGTAAGCTCCCAACCTTTCCAAAATTACACTTCCTGGTCTCACCAAGTACATCCAGAACATGCCAACTAGTCAGCAAAAGCATCGAGGCAAAACGAAGGGCTGGGACTGAACTTTGTCGCAGCCGAATGGGGTGCAAAAGAACACAGATAAATAAGGCGATCCTAGGATTGACAAAAGGATTTTTTGGATATTCAAGAAACGCCTACGCTTGAACCGGTGTTTGCCTGGGTCCATTGAAGCGAGCAGGCCGCCCATTTCCATTCCCATTGTGGAAGATGCGGTCCTGACGATAGCCATTCCCATTCTGATGATAGTATCCAGACCCATTCTGCCGATGTCCATTGCCATTGCCGTTCTGATAGTACTCATCTCCGTTCTGATGGTATCTGTTCCCGTTCTGATTGTATCTGTTCCCATTCTGATGGTATCCATCACCGTTCTGATGGTATCCATTTCCATTCTGATGGTAACCACCACCGTTACCATTCTGATGGTAACCATTCCCCTGAGGCCCACGACCACGCCCTGAGTACTCGTTCTGATTTCTGAATCCGTTCCTCATGTTATCACCATCACGGTAGTTACCATTGTTCACGAAACCTGCTTCTCGTCCCCTGAAGTTGTCCCCACGGTATCCACCACCTCTGTTGTCTTGCTGGAACCGACCACCCCGAGCATTGCCATTGTTTTCAATATGGGTGACACCATTAACAACTGAAAGTGAGAAGAAATAAGGGGAAATGGCACATCAGTTTATGCAAGTGATGTGAAATATATAAACCAATGACCAGCAGCAAAAGATGCTGATCTTTGCACTTAGATTCAAAAAGGCCACTCGTGAGATTTCTAAATGAAATGCGCAGGGAAGCAGAAATACCACATCACCATACTAAATTGCAAATTGATTGAGCCTGTACCATTCACATATATAAGAATATAAGATTCTCAATGTGTGCGTGTGCGTGGTTGGAGAAGGTCATAAGCAACCTCAAAGCCTATTAACACGCAGATTGTGAACCTGTCCTAGACCTATGACAACAGAACATGCCATTGGTGTCTTTGCTAAGGAAGATCAGAAAGCTTGCTCACCTCGAGTTGTAGTTCGTTTCTCCTCAACAATGGATGCTTTTGAGCCAATAGAAACTGGAGAGGCCTACAATAACAGATATTCACTTGTTTAGACCATATGCTATACAAGTAGGGGGAGATATAAATTTGCTCCCTCTTGAAACCACATCAAACAATGCACTTCAGCTAAATGAAATTATAATAAAACCCAGCCCGTCATAACTGCAGATAGAATTCTAGCATAGTGAAGCCCAAATTAGCGAGGTAACTTATGAGCATACTACAAACTGAGGTCAACACTCCGAGAAACAAACCTCAATTGCTGCTAGCATGGATTGCCGAGACTCAAATTCAACAAAGCCAAAGCAGAATCCATCGGGCTGCAGAAACATGGTGGAAATGTCAAAACAAATGATTAGAGCAACCAAACCTACATACAAGCTTTCACTAACCTGACGGTGTCGAACTTGAATACCACCAGGCCTGATAGCACCAAATTTCCTGAACTTTTCCTCAACATCTTTCGTGGTACATTCATAAGGTAAGTGCTTTACATAAACAGAATACCCTTGCTCTACAAAAACAACGTTTTGGTATAGTTCACTTCAGTATAAATAACAACATGCATGCTTTTTTCTTCTTAAATAAAACATGAAACAAAGGATAAACTGACCAACAAGAACATTTTTGTCATTTGGAGATGTGGTATCAGCTGCATTAGTAGGTTTCACAGGTGAGGACACAGCTTTCTCCACATTGTCAGTCACTTTTGCAGTTGGCTTTGGTTTGGGTTTGGGCTTGGGCTTTGCAACAGGTGGAGTTGGTGTGCCCTCCTTTGTAACCTTAACCTGTAGTGCAAACCACAGAAGGAACAGTAAGCATTGAAACAAAAAGGGCATTATTCTTGTGTATTCATAATTCAGGCAGAATTGAGTATACGGATGAAGTGCAGGGAAAAAGAAAACTCACAACTGATGCATATGACTGTTTAGTAACATCCTTCTGAGTCGAGGCACGAGGAGCAGGTGCAGGTGCAGCTGCAGGAATGTTCTCTGCACACGAACTAACCACTTCCGTGCATGCCTCAACAAGAACATTTTCTTCGGGAGAACTGTCATTGGCAGGCAGATTCTCAACATTGTCATTGACATTCTCTGCAGATGGAAGCTCCAAGTCTGCAGTCTCATTGACATTGCCTGAAGTCTCTGGTAAAACATTGTAATTTTAGCAAACATATTGAAGGGAATATGGTCAGCCAAAGGTGAAGTAATGAAATACAATAACCTGGCTCAGATGTAAATGTGACACTGTGAGTGTTATCATCAACATGGTTAGGCAGAGAATCATTTATCTCAGTCAACAGTCTTTCTTGTGGAGAATCATTTGTCTCAGTCAACAGTGTTTCTTGCAGAGAATCATATCTTAGCATATCATTCAGAACAAAATAGCCTCCGCTTTCTTGTGGAGCAAGGAAGAATGACTGGCTAAATCTATGCCTCATAGTGCCATTGTGTCCAATAGATCCAGTTACCAAAATGTGCACACCACCATTGAGGGATAACTGTGCATCCACATTCTCTAACTTAATCAAACAGCTACTGAAGTCCGTAGAGAGAAATTCATCGTTGATAGCCTGGACAAGCAACGCAAACAAATAAATTACACTCCATCAATTTAATTATATAAGGTGTATTTGACTTCAAAAAGACTACAAGAAATATCGACCCTTAGTTTCTCATGAAATATATTCTTGATAGCTATAAAACCAATATCACGTGTATGCACTTTGAAGTATGAAAATACACCAAATGTACTGCTAAGTTAACTAATTCTTGGTGAAAATCATAAAAAATAAATGATCTTTTGGAACCAAAATGCCTATAAAAGTGAACGAGGCAGTATCTAACAAGTGAATTGTAGGAACAAAGTAATATGTCCGTGTTAAATACTTATTACAGATTACATAAATATGAAATTAAGTTAGAATACTCTACTGAATGTAGATGTCACATTATCCTACGATCCTATCAAACGACGTTACATGTTTGATGAATCATACATGAATGTTCCATAGTAAGACGACCTTAAAGGCCATGCACATCCTTCTAATAATTGACATACAGCAACATGCATGCTGCAACTATGCAACTACCACGGTACTACGGTCTACGGATACTGCATGCTGATTTGCAGTCAAAATTCTCTCTTAAGAAGGCACACAGAAAAATCTATTAATAATTACCATCCCAGCGCATTTCTCTGAACTTAACAAGCAAATAGAACTATAACTGCTGACAGAATATCTATCATCGCATTTGATGCTCATGTGTTTTCATTCTGAATAATGTGTAGAGGTAAATGCCACTGCATAAATGAAAATCAAGTTCCACAAATTTGATACAAGTAAATGCATGTACATCCATACTGCTAATTCGAAAATTGCCCAGCCTAAGAGTGTGTATTCATAATTTATAACTAATTGAAAGAGTATGTCCTATTGCAGAAAACTTACAGTCAATGTGGTTACAGATGTCATGGTTCCATTAGAATCTGGTCGACCAAGGGTGCTTGAATCATGATAGAACTTACAAACTTGACCCGGTGAACTATGGAGAACATTGTAGTATTGTTGAACAAACGCATTTCCAATCTGGAAAGAAAGACCAAAATCACGTTGAGTTCAGCTACATGGGAGTAGATCGATATAAAATATATGGGAGTAGAACGACAGAAAGGGGATAATACCATTTGTGGACTTAAAGGAGCAACTGATTCCCCAACTTGCATAGCCATCCCTGTGGAAGGTATAGCACTGATTAATATCCGAAAGCTTTGAGGCGAATACATAAGTAATAGCAGCATCATAAATACAGAGGTTTTTAAAGCTATTAGTAAGGGTCCAGAATAAAACAGAAAAGGTGAATTAATTGGCAGATCAGCGAATGCCTGGGTATGAGCTCCACAGCTCAGGAGCCAAACCCGATGGTAACAACATGATATACGCAGCAGATAACTACTGTTACAGCAAAGGAAAACCAAAGTAAAAAACAACAATCCATGCAAATTATTTGACTTTCCACTTCGAATCATAAAGGCTTACGCTTTGACAAACAAACAAACCAGCAAATTTTCACTACAATCAGAACCTGGGATTATTTTGACAATACCAATAACCAAAACAACTTGAAAACTTATTAAACACATTAAGGAAAAACTTATTTAACACAAACCACGGTACCTAGAAACACTGAATATACGGTAAACCTACAATAAACAGGAATTCAATACAACAAAAAGGTTTTTTTTCAAGGCATAACATTATAAATCCTACTAAAAGGGACATCCCACTCATACCATCGCCCGACCAAAAACGCAAAATCTTAGAACCAACTCGTCCCCAACCTAAATCTCCCCCAAGGATACCTCTTCCCCACACATAAAACCCCTATCACTACACCACATCAACCAAACGAAACCCTAATTACACATCACCCAAAAGAACCCCCTAATTAACACGAGGGGGGGGACGCACGCGCACGAATCATGCCCTACCAGCCGCGATCATCGTGCACGAAACAAAACAAAACAGAGATTGCAAGAGAGAGAGAGGGGGGGGCGGAGGAACAGGAGTCGAACCTTGCGCGGTTGCAGGGGGAGGGGCTCCCGGCGGCGGGAGGAAAACCCTAGCCCTAGCGAGAGTCGGCGGCGGCGGCGGCGGCTTCGCGAGGTTTCGACTCGAGGAAGGAACCGAAGCGAGACGGAGAGAGGAGGCGGCGAGAGAGAAAGAGAGAGGGGTTTATAGCGAGGAAGGTGGAAGGGTTTTTGGTGGGCCCCACGCGGCCACCGCGTGTCACTGCGCTGTGGGCCCCCCACCCAGCGGTGGTGGAGTCCTTCCCTCGTGCGTCCCGCCATGGGCCGCCTCCAGGCCCATGAGAAGCTTGTTGGTTTTGTGGTGGGCTGTGTGGGCCCGCTAACCTCCACGAGGTCCGGCCCATGAGAGAGAGAGAGAGAGCGGAAGAGGCGAGCTCTAAAACCCTAGTTAGAGCCGCCGCCTTCGCCCGTGTTCCCCTTATCCCGCGCGCCTCCCCCACTCGGCGCCTCGCCGCGCGGCCGCCGCCGTCTACCGCCCCACCGGAGCTCCGCCGTGGTACGTGTCCTCCGGTGCGCCTTCCTGTTAATTTCAGGACTCGTTGTTCGATTCGCGAGCTACTAGGATCGTCGATGCGCCCTCCCGTGCTTTGGCTAGACTTTGGTTGCGAACGTATTGCACGAAGCAGCAGTTGCCGATGAACTCGCGCCGCGCTGCCGCCTGGAGCTCGCAGCTTGCCACGCATTGCCGTCTCTCGCCGATGCGTAGTAGCTTCAGCGTTCAGTATCTTAGCTTGCGGCAGTAGAAATAAGGCCCTTTATGTCTACGGGATTGTTTCGTCTAGTTTGTTGGGATTGCTTTCTCTTTTTCTTTTTTCTAATTTGATGAGTGTTTTAGTAGTCTAGTTTGATATATTTGTCTAATTTGTTGGGATTGCTATTTTTTTTGGTCTAATTTGATGAGTGTTTTAGCAGGCCATTTCCTTCGGGCAAGATGAGTTTGATATCGCAGAATCCCATTCAGAAGCGCCGACTGGAGACAATTGAAGCTGATGATGATAGTGACGAGGGATTAGGCTCTCCTGTTGCTGCCGGAGCTGAGGATGGGAATGAAACCAAGTCGGAGAAGCGCAAAAAGGAGAAGAAGCGGAAGAAGGCCAAGGCGCTGGAGGCGCTTGAGGAGAAGGAGAACAAGGAGAGGGAGGAGATGAAGCTGCTAGAGAGCTCCCTGTTTGGTGCCCTCTATGCGCCGCCTCAGTTTGGCACTGAGGTTGAGGCTGTGGATCCTGACAAGGGTGTGCCTTCATTCTTCATGGATAGGTCTGGTGGTGATGGTGAGGATGATTTGCCCGTCTATGACGAGGGCTTGTCCAGTGAAGACGAGGGGGTTGACATGGTTGGCAGGGAGAGGAAGCCTGCATGGGTGGATGAGGAGGAGGTGACTGAGGTGGACATTTCGAAGGTGGCAAGGTTGAGGAAGTTGAGAAAGGAGGGTGATGAGCGTGTGATCTCAGGGAAAGAGTATGAGGCTAGGTTGCGTGGTCAACATGCCAAGTTGAACCGCTTCGCTGGTTGGGCTGACTTGGACCGTAAAGCTCCTCTTCCTGGGTCGTCTGACAATGAATCTGATGAAGAGGGCAGAGTTGATGATATTCTTCGGAATAATGATGAGCTTGTTGTCAAGGATAATGCTAAGCTCTTACCTGACATGCTAGGGTTCTCAAGACTTGTAGATGCAAATTCCCAGGAACCATCTAGCGGCCCTATCAATTCAGTGCAGTTTCACAGGAATGGGCAACTTATGCTTGTTGCTGGTTTGGACAAGCATCTGAGATTTTTCCAGATTGATGGGAAGAGAAACCCCAAGATCCAGAGCATATTTATTGAGGACTGCCCTGTTCACAAGGCCGCATTTCTGCCTGATGGTTCTGAGGTTATCCTTTCAGGCAGGAGGAAGTTCTTCTACTCATTTGATCTGGTGAATGCTGCTGTTAGTAAGATTGGACCCTTAACAGGACGTGAGGAGAAAAGCCTAGAACACTTTGAGATATCACCCGATTCAAAGACCATTGCATTCATTGGTAATGAGGGGTACATTCTTTTGATTTCTTCCAAAACAAAGCAGCTCATTGGAACCCTCAAGATGAATGGGAATGTGCGTTCATTGGCTTTTGCTGATGGTGGGAATCAGCTACTAAGCAGTGGTGGTGATGGCCATGTGTACCACTGGGATCTCAGGACAAGGAAGTGTATCCACAAGGGTACCGATGAGGGTTCCTTGGCAGGCATTTCGCTTTGCACTTCACCCGACAGCTCTTTGTTTGCCACAGGCTCCACCAGCGGCATTGTGAATGTGTACAAGAGGGATGATTTTCTGGGCGGGAAGAGGAAGCCACTGAAGACGATCGAGAACCTCACAACCGAGATCGGTGAAATGAAGTTCAACCATGATGCCCAGGTTCTGGCGATAAGCTCGAGAAAGGAGAGGAACGGGATGAGGCTTGTGCACGTCCCATCCCTCACCGTGTTCCAGAACTGGCCAGGGCCTCGGTTCAGCCTCCACTACCCACGGTGCTTGGACTTCAGCCCGGGCAGCGGGTTTTTGTCCGTCGGACATGCTGGTGGAAAGGTTTTGCTGTATAAGCTGCACCACTACCAAAATGCCTAAGATCTGAATGTGTTACTCTTTCCCCTATGGGCTGAAATGTGACCTGGAAAGAAAATTCAACTTTCAACACTGTGTTTCAATTTTGAGAGATATCGATGGTATCTGTAGTCTAGTTCTTCTGAATTCTTTTTTTTTTCTCTCTTTACTTTGGGTGTTGTAATCCCTTACTCTGGTGCTTAATGCAAAGCTGGCAATTTACCCATGTTGTTGCATTTCTTTTATCATGCAAATTGATATATCTGTACCGGTGATTGCTGTGTCATCCTCTTAAATCTCTTTGGTATACAGACTTCATGAGCTAGTTCTGTAATGCAGCCTTCCCAGTTCGTCAGTTAATCAGTTATGCCTTTTGCTGTGTGCACTTCGCAGTGTTTGGTTCATAGATAGCCGCACTTTGTTCAACTCCAAGTTATAGGCGTCCCATTGGGTTGTATCAGCGAGACTTAAGTTTGTTCAATTTCAATCAAATTTCTCCCGAATTTGCTCCATCTTCAAGGGGAGTCCGAAGAATTGGACACATTTGAACGACTCCGGAGTTGTGACTCGCTCGTGAGTCCCGATACCCAACACGGTTTGGTTGCTACCGCCTGCACGCCTGACCACGTGGTGCGGACGTGCGGTTCGCAGACGCGCGCGCCCACCAGGTGCTCGACGGAATGCTCGGAACAGGGGGCGCGCGACGCGGGCGGGGGCACCGGGAGGACCTGAGCTCGCCTGGACCTACGCCATGGCAAGCCAACGAGCTGAGCTGAGCTGAGCTGAGCAGCGTCTGGCGAATCCGGTACGCGAGGCGGCGGGAACCTAGGATCTCCTGCCGGCTACCATGCCCAGGATGGCAGGATGGGCCGATGCCGATGCCCACCGGAATACCGGATGCGGATTCAGTGGGCGGTCCCTGTTCCCGACGACTCGCCGATGACGCTCTCGTTCGAGGCTGGCGCCGGCATCCCCATGTGCCCAGGTCTGTCCTTCCCTTTCCCCCTCCCAATGATGCCGCTCGCTATGCAGCCTCTCCCCACTGCTCCACTTCACCACCACCATGTCCGGTGCTGATAAAATCTCTGAAATGGCTTTACAGTCGCGTTGATATCTCAACAGTGCGGGCAGAATCAATGGCGCTTGGTCTCTGCTGGTGGAGCCGCCTGGTGTTTCTTGCCTCTTGCTCACCTCACTGTTCCCACATTTGCAGGGGCGTGACAGATTCTAATACTATGAATTTGGACTAATAATGTCATATTCCGTACTAGGTTAACTTATTTTTTAAACGGAGGGAGTAGGGATGAACATGCGCGCAGCTGGGAGATTGGAGGACATGGATGGTTTCTCTTGGTTAATTTGGAGGTATGCATTACCTGCATTGCTATGTCACTTTCATGAAATGCATGTTCTCTCCTTTTGGTTTCCCTGTGGCCAATTTGCATCCTTGTGTCGAGAATTGAGATCTGGGGATCCTGGGTGATCTGGCACTGAGACACTGACTCAAGAGCAGTTATCTCGTTGAGAGCCTTGACAAGTGGCTATGCTGTATACAGAGAAGTGTTTGCTCACATGGAGTTCGTACAATGCGCTTATCCGGATTACTAACTCGATGATTGATTTGGTGACAATATCCTCGTGCGAATGTCGGGGTATGGCTGCTGCGGTTTTTCTTTTTTTCTAAAAAAAAAGGAAGATATGAAAACAGTTTGAGAACTACAGGGTTGAAACTTATAGTGGATGTTATCACCAATATGGCAATCTCGTTACCTATAACAGTGTAAAATGTTCCTGGCAAGCAGATGCAGAATGGCCACTTCCTATCCCTAACTAATGAATATTGGGTAAGTTTATTGCTTGAGGTGAGACCTTTTTTCATGAGACAAATAATACATTGTTAAATTGAGAACAAGAGCGTGTCCTGGTTAAAAGGCACATAGAGAAGAATGTTGTGGACACTCTATTGGTTGCTTCTTCATCTAGGGTCAGTTGCAGTGAGACACTGAGGCCCCGTGTTGAGGAATATTTATATTTCTTCTATAGTTTAATCTTCAGCAAAATACAAGATGTTACATTCACTAGTGTAGTGTAGTTGCTAAGCTTCCTAGGGGAAACATGTATTGCCAAGCATATTCAGCTTGTACTACTAAATGACAGCTGCCTCTTTAGGTTCCACTGTCCACCTTGCATCTTCCCTGTGGCCTCATCCCATATGACCTCGTCAATGAGGTCCTTGTAGATTAATCTTTCGATCTCCAAAACCGTGCTTGGCGATTCACTATCGAAGCTCCAATCTTCTATTCCATTCAGTGGATCCTCAACCAATAGCATTCTTTCATCCCCATCCTCTTCAGAGCATTTTATCGCTGAACTCTCAGATTGAAGCCTGTCAACCTCTGTGCACAGGTCCTTAAAAAGTCGCCATCCGTTGTACTTCCTTAATTGAAGCGACTTGGCTGACTGACTTGCCGAGCAATGAATGTTCATCTTCTGAGCTGTAATTTCGTTTACCAGATCGAATACAATTCTTCGATGAAGCTTTTCTGTGTTAGCTTTGGAGCTCTTGGTAACAGTTTGGTCTGCTGAAGCAAAATCTGGCTTTGTTTGTTCAAGAATGAGGAAGAGCTCTGGATTGATCAGGCAGCTTGATGGCCATGCTTGACCAGGCATGGCTACGAAGCTAAGTTCTTTGTGCAGGAGGCCAGATGCTAAGAGTATCTCGTAAATGTACTGATGATCTTTCTTGTTTGCAACTTCATCATTCATTGACTGCAATTGCTCAAGCTTCTGGATGAGGGCCTCAAAATTTTCTGGTTTGATCTGGCTGACTTCACTGCTCGTCTTGGACTGTGGCGTGTCAGGCAGGCTGTTCGGGTTCCAGCACTCCTCTGAAGAATGTGTCTCCCCATCTGAACAAGCAGAAAAGGATATGCATGTATTCAGAAACCAGTGTTCAATACAACTGCAGAAAATAGTAATATGCCAGACAGAAATACGGTATTCATTATCAGACCTAACAACTGCAGAAAAACATGTACTGGACAGGAGATCTGATATCACTATCTGTCTACGGATCAACTGAATCATACTCATGCTAGGTGTATTTGTAGAGGGGGACATTGGTGGGCACGTCTATACTAGCAATGCATATACACCAGAAGACACACATCATGCTCCTGCTGTCCTGCATAAGCAAGTGCAACATGTGGGCCTTGCTATAACCTAACAATGTTCTGGTCATCTAGCTGCAACTCTGCAACAGTCCATCTGCTGTGGTTCCTCCCCATATCAGGACCACAAGCTACCTGGTTGTAGCTTTTATTGCAGATTATCTGTCACTAGCGTCATTGGCACGCTTACAGCTAACTATGCTTGTCCTTTGAATGACACTATGGGCTTCTGGATTGAATGAGAGCAAACAGTAGAATCCATCATGTTGCTGTTCTTGCAGTTGGTTATCTTAATGCAGAAAAAATACTGTATCAACTTCTCACCTTTGAATGAATATGACAGTCTTGTATGGTAATATGACGTGTCGAGGACAGAGATGGGACTTGGGGCATTCTCCAGTGAATTAATCTTCTGATCTGAAGCAAGAACTGAAGGAGTTCCCTGTAAAAAAGGAGAACATATTTACTAATTAGTGATGTACAAGGTAAAAAACATTGATTGAACTGGCTGGTTTCCTTATATCTGATTTTATTATGTATACCTTGTGACTTGGTGTCGATGCTAGGGGCTTTTGAAAATCCATGATGCTTATGTCGATCTCCTTCACCATGCTGATTCTGCTTCTTGGACTCTTCGAGACCTCATTGTCACGGTGGTTCTTCCCTTGAGAAGGCTTTGTTCTTGTTCTTCCTCCAGGAGAGGCTGCTTCACTGGACTTCTTGCTTGGGGACTTCGGTGAGACAGGTGGACGAGACCTCCTTTCTGACTCTGCCTTCCGCTGCACTGTCCTGGGGCTTGATGATCCTGTAGGCCTTGGAGAGCTTGCACGGCTAGCAGGTTCATCGGACTTGGATTGTGCCCTTGAAATGCGAGAATGGACCTTCTCATTTGTGCTGGTCTCATGCTCGCCAATGCAAGGCGCATCTCTGGCCTGCAGCTTCCTGAGGTTTCTGAACCCTGCAAGGGGATCAACTGAAGCAAGTGAAACCCCTGGCTGCTTCTCAGTGCTTCTTGCTGGCTTCATGACTACAATGGGAGGCTGGAAGTGTCTGGAACTGGTGTTCAGTGCATCCCCTGCCTGCTGAGCAGCCACTGTTAATGCGCCATTGCCATCGTTCTGGCGCTTGGCATCCTTTGCGTGCAGCGCTTCCAGTATCCTGAGAGCCCTGAAGTCCTTGTTGCACTCCAAGAACTCAAGCCCCCCGCCCCTTCTCTCAATGTAGGCATAGAGAGATGCAGTCCTTGGTCGAACTTCAGCATCTCGGCATTGTGAAGCCTTGCTACTGGTGGCAATCTTCTCCTGCTGCCTCCAAGGAGCAGATTCAGTAAGAATTCTTGGAGAAGGCTTGGTTTTCATTGCCGGAGACTCATCTTTTGGCAGCGACTCGCGTGGATCCTGACAAAATCTTCTAGGGGAAGGTACTGGATGCTCCTTCTGTGTGTCTTCTGCTGGTCTTGGTGATCTTTCAGGCTCGTAGCTATCAACAGTTAGCACCCCTGTAGCATTGGGTGCTTCTTCCAACCCCATCAGCTTGGCAATGACACTGCTGGCACGCCTATGGCCTGGGGAATCTTGAGGCCTAAGAGCGTCCATGAGACTGTCGTCGGTTCTCCTGTAACTGAAGGTCTTCTGGCGAGAACTCGAGCTCAGGGTTTCTTTCCTACTGTCCAAGGACAGTCTGGGAAGCTCTTTGAGCCTTGTGGAAGGCTTCTTGTTCTCTTGAGCTTCAACTGGCCTCAGGAGCCGCCGATCATCGCATGAGAAGCGCGACTGCTCTGGGAATCGCCTGCTGGATTCAACAGCATTAGCAGGGACCTTGGTGCTCCTATCGATCCCGATGACGTAGGTCCCATCCATTGATTTGGAGAGCAGCAAGGGCCTTGGTGAGTCTTTGTACTGCCCATTCCTCCTTGCATCCTTCACCGAGGTCTTGACAGTAAGGCCTCCGGTGTCCCGGTTAATGGAGTCCTTCACAATGTCTCTGAAGCCAATGTTTGACTGTCCAGACCTGGTGTCCATGACTGGGTCCTTCAGACTTGGTGAGCTCTTCAGTGGCCTCTGTACAAAGAGCTGCTCGTTGATGTATGGCAGCTCTTGTTGGATCGATTTGTTGCCATCAAGTGATGAAAAGGATGAGCATGAGGAGGAAGAACAGGAAGCCCTTGATGACTCTATTGAAAGGCTACTGTTCTCGGTCATGCTCTTGCTGAATGTTTTCTCCTGCAAAGGCAATCCATAAGTTAGAGTACTCTTCTTGATGTGGCCAAAGTATACTTCTGATGCATGCATGGGATGGTTTTTTTACTGGCAAGTGGTAACAAACAACAGTTGGAGTTCGAATAGGAAAATTACCAGAACGATCTTGGAGGTACTTGAGCTCTGCGCTGCAACATTGCTGCTGCTTCTTGGAAGAGTATGGCCTAGAAAAGAAAAAAAAGAAGACATTATAATTACAGCCTAAACTGTGAATTGAGGAATTATAGCTATTTATTAAGACAGTCTGGTATGAGCAAAATGGATGGATTTGAGCGGTGAAAAGGTGTGTGTTTTCTTAATTGTTGTTCAATAATATAATCAATTAATCATATACATGAATGGAAGTTTTATAATCAATTGTTAAGCTGTCTTCTTCAGTTAATTTATCATTGACGAGAATGGAAATTTTAAAACCAAATGTTAAGCTGTCCTCTTCAGTTTCATTATATTAATGAAAATTTTAGTAACTAACTGATAATCTGTCCTTTTCAGTCAGTGCGAAAAGTTATCCCCTCATGCTACTTCTGGGCACCCAAATCCACGTCAGTGCCTGTCCTTATGTCAATGTGTGCTGCCATATTACATTCTTTAAAGAAAGGCCTTTATGATCACAACTACTGTAAGCCATCTGTTTTTTTGTACTGTTGTCTTTTATCTAGGGTGAGGGGGGTACTCTGTTTTCAATAAAAGAAGGTTAAAGATGAAATTAGTATCCTGCAGTTGTGAAGAAGTGAAGAAAACTCCCATTTTCCAATTAATAGCATTTTTTAAAAAAAACCAACCAATGCATGTTCTACTGCACCTTCCAACTGTTATCTGTTACCAAACTTTGAATAATAGTCTGAAAGGACTTGTCTCTCGAGTTTCAACCAACACATGAAATTAGTAGTTCTCTGTCCCACAAAAGAAGCACCCAACTTTTCTAATCTCTGGTCAACATTTGCAGAACGAGTTGCAGCTAATAATTCAGAAAGTAACACTTAAAAACAGATGGCTTAAAAACAGTAAAACAGTAGTAGTAATACTTAAAAACAGTAACCAAGATAGAGAGGGAAAAGAAAAGAGAAACAGCTTGTAAAAATGCTTGAGACGCAGCTGACATGATCTTGGGTGTGTGAATGGAGTGAAGCTGGTGATTGTGAAAACAGAACAGGGGAAGAGGAGCAGATGCCACAGGAAGAAATGTGCAGAGAAAAAAAAATGCGCCGTTAACCTGGGCCCGGGGGCAGCATCTTGGGCGGCGGGCGGCGGCGGCGCGCGGTGAGCAGGCGCTGGCGGCGGTCGAAGATCTGGAAGATGCCGGCCATGCACCCCATCTGCCTCTCCAGCTCCGGCGCCTCGTCCCCCAACCCCCCTCCTCCACCACCGCCGCCGAGCACCCTCGCCGGAGGCATCTCCTCCTCCGACTCCGACTCCTCCCAGATCACCAGCTCACGCACATCCAACTGCAGAGCAGCTCAGCTCAGAAAGCCAAGGAGCAAGCAGAGGTACGTACACTATCACTTTCTTTGGGACGCGTGAGATGAGATGTGGTATGGTGATGGTATGATGAGATATGTGTCAATGGCGTGCGAATGCCATGCAGGGTGTCGTGAGGAGAGGGAGAGGGGGGGTTGAAATAAGCGGGAGGGATGGGGGATTGGTGGGGTGGGGGGTGTGTGGGTCAAGGCGTGTCGATGGTCCATGTCCAGCTCCCGGCACCCACGGCCGAATGCTGCTGCTGCGCTGCCCGCGACGCGAGCCGGCCACGCATGTGAGGGGGGGGGGGGGGGGGGGGGGGGGCTTCGGTCATTGTTGCGGGGTTGGGCATGTTACCGCGCGCGCACCACCACCTCTCCCTACCACGGCCACAATACCATATTGTCCAACCCGCTGCGGCTCGGCCGCAACGGGGGTATATGGTTTCGATTAGGTTCCTCTTGACGGGTTTGGATTACGTTCTGGCTGCTGCGTTCGTTTCTCCAACGAGAGATGAAATTTTGGATAGCTAAACGGCGTTTTTGGTGTGAATACTTTCTATATGAAAGTTGCTCTGATATTAATATCAGTTTAATCCATTATTCAAGTTTATAATAAGTAAAACCCAATTAATCACACGTTATTACCACCTCGTTTTGCGTGGAACACTTAATCTTTATCTTCATCTTCATCTTAAGAAGATTCAAACACCTCACTTACGTTTTATTCCCTCCGTACGTAGATGTGACACGTCATAATTCTATGAATTTAGAGAGGGACAGAGAGAGTAGTAATTTGCTAGATACTTCTTCCGTTTCATATCATAATTCGTCTGACTTTTAGGAAAAGTTATTTAAGTTTATTAAAAATATAGTAACATTTCCAGTAGAAAACAAGTATTGTATCAAAATATATTCAATACTAAATTTAATGAAACTAATGTCGTGTTATAGATATTGCTATTTTTTTCTATAAATTTAGTCAAACTTAGAAGAATTTTGACTAAGAGAAAAAGTTAAACGACGTATAATATGAAACGGTGATGGAGTATGTGACTCACGTCGCACCGTGCCGCGTTACGGAGACGGTTTTTCCGATGAAGATCGATCGAAGACCGCAAAATTTCTTTGGTTTCGACACGGAACAAAAGCAGACTCCGAGTAAAACTCCAAATGGCTCCTAGACATTCAAATTTCAAAGAAAAAAAAATGGTCGGAATTCGACGAAAACCATCGTACCGCCAGAGGTTAGGGATCGGACATTCAATCGGAAAGGTGAACGCCCACCCCGGATGTCGATCGTTGCCAGGAGAGTCCGAGGTTAACGCGTGCGCCAGCGACAGCCGCGTCGCGTCTCATCATACGCGAGATGCACAGCGATTCGTGTGACATTGCCACTACGCACACGCTCTCACTCACTCACTCGCTTTCTCTCGTGCACACCACATGCTCGTGAAAATGCCTACTCGCTCCTACTACTACCACCATAGCTAAAATTTTTACCCAGAGGCCCATCTGATCTGACGGATAGATTCCTCGTGTAGGGGCAGCAGCAGTAAAAACACCTCGCCATGATGGAGTTCATGCATCTGCAGTGTGTGTGGTCACTCCAAATGGTGATCACCAATGCAAAAGATGCAACCAAAGCCACTGTGAATGTGTGATCTCTTTTATTACTGCTGCATCAGTTGTTTTTTTTTTTTTTGGATCTTGCAGGTTGGTTCTAGTTGAATTAAGGCTCGATCTGCTGCTGCTGCTGCTACTGGTTAGCCGAAAAGAGAACGGATCTTGGAGATGTTTGGTTTGGAACGGACTGGTTTTCCAAACCGTGTAGTAGTACCAGTACGTTGGACAGCACAATCATGAGGGCACAGCTAGCTATGTGAATGTGGTAGTAACACGTAGTACGGTCATTGGACTTTAGTGCACTTGAAAGGAGAAGAGATTAAGATCAAGCTCATCTTATTGTTGTTGCCGGTGTTAACTATGCCATATAAGTATGATATATTGTGGTCTTCGGTGCTTAATGGCTGGAGTGTGACATACAAGGGCGGTTAACCAAGTAACAGGGAATGGAATGGATGTGTTACCTGCTTCTTGCTTGTATATAAAAAATGGAATTCACTGTCTTAATCCTTGTACGGAACCTGCTCAAATAAAATCATGTACTTTTTTCCCCATTGGTGTTGCGGTTGAATTTGATGCACCAACGAGCTGTTCAGGTGAAGCACCATTTGTTTCTCATCAGTGTACGACTTCATCCATCAGATCTAAAATTTGATTTTCATAGATATAAATCGGCCGACCCGGCAAAATATTTTCATAGATATAAATGTCTGTATTCTTAATTGGTGTAGAGGACGGAAGTTATACTTTATTTATTTTATAAAAAAAGTGAGTTTTTTAGCTAATATTTTGCTATTTTCTCTCGTATCTTTGCTTTTTTTTTTTCATCCAATAAAGGCTTCTTGCACCAATCAGTTCATCTAAATTAAGTTGTTTTCACAAACGTGGGTGATACACTCGTACTTCAAAACTCCTCATGTCCAGCCCTCCCCTGGTTAATATGGATACGACTAGTCTGCCAATGGACTGCATTTTTGCCTTTTATCAACCAAATTTCTGAACTTCAACAAGATAACAATTTAACGATCCATCATTTTACTTACTTACCACACATCTCCATTTCCAATCTTCTCATGGCTTTTGAGTAAATTTCGTTCAACATTTTCATAAAAGTAAAAGTAGTGTTTTCTTTTTCCCCATCTCCAACGAATTGCTTGCACCTGCAGTGATTACTCACTCACCAACCAGCATCGCTGTGAAAGGTGAAATTAAGCTGCATCTGCTTCATCAGGAGGAACGGAGGACCAACAATGGCGGCCATGGCTGCTGCAATGCAATGCAACACCGTGGTCCAGCGCTGTCACAAGTCTCCCAATGCCACTCGCGGATGCAGATGCAGGAGGAGGCAAAGCAAGCCGACGACGGACAATTTTCAGTCAGTAGGGTACAGTGTTATACATATACTCCAACGACGGACGACGAAGACGATGATGAATATGCAGGTCATGTTTGATATACAGGGTGTGTTTATTTCACGCTAAAATTAAAAGTTTGGTTGAAATTGGAACGATGTGACGGAAAAGTTGGAAGTTTGTGTGTGTAAGAAAGTTTTAATGTGATGGAAAAGTTAGAAGTTTAAAGAAGAAGTTTGGAACTAAACTCGGCCTTATATGGATTTTGTCACAGATTATATACTTTATTATAGAGATAAATTAAATGTTTTAAGAAATGAATTTAACAAATAGTCCGAACGATATAATAAATGAAAATTTTGTGAGGGAACATACTTTCAGAGACGATATAAGCAAATAATCAGAGACAATAATTCGGTGAAGTAGCCGAAAAAACAGAGCTAGTCTGGTACGATCTAAGCATACATAATCCGACGACGATGATGGAAATGCAGCCACAGTGGCGTAAATTTGTGCAGCAACTCTCTGTGCAGAAGATTGAAGAGCAAATTAGAGGAGGGGTTCAGACAAAAGCACAAGCTTGACAACATGCGCATTGAGGAGCCTGTCCGGTGGGGCCCCGGGACCAGTGTAGGTGGATCTGGAGGCAGCCATACATGGCTGCTTATAGCCAGCAGCTTTGCTAGCTAGCTGCCTAGCTTAGTTAGTGGCTTTGGACAAATGGACCAGGTGGACCCTTAAGATGTATGTTTAGTTTAGTCCTAGTAAGTAAATCACCATTACATATGTAGATCTATTTTACCATTATTGAGAAGATATCCGTGCTTTTCTGAATTTACTATGTTGTGCGTCCGTAGCATGACACCCTCACCTTTCTTCGTAATACATCTTCACCTATTCTTTAATTATTTTTTAGATTATTTACTTCACGTTTTAAATATATATGTATATATTTTTCTCAAAAGTCCTTCTTGATTACACCAATTATTTTAAACTATTTATTAAGCTTATTTTTTAAAGTATTTAATTTATCCCTTTAGTTAAGTGGATAAGTTGTATCCACCATTAGCTCAGTAATCTAGATCAAACAAGGTCAAATTCAAGATTTGGTGGTTCCCTTTGTGGTGGAGCCTAATTAGAAGAACCGGTTGCCGAATTTGGAGAGATTCCGACCACCCTGGTTTTAGAAATCGTTGCTGAATTCGATGCTGTGACATAGCTAGCTAGGTTGAAGAATCTATGCGTATTAAAATGGAAAGAATCTTTGACGTATTGAAAGGAGTTTGCAATTGTTAGATTTCCCGCCAGTTACCTGGATTATTTTTCCTGGTGAATTAATTTAGTATTATCACAATATATCCCTCTCGAGAAAAGTTAGTTTTGTATGTAGGGAGTTTAATTTCCAAAAGTTTGTACTATATCATGATATGTCCCTCTCGAGAATACTAGTTTTAATTTGTATTCAGGGAGTTTAATATAATTTCCAATCATTTCCCTTTCTACTTTGGTTGATAGACAGGAGCTATCCGATCGAGGCAACCTGAAAATTATGATCTGTGAGAAACTGCAATAATCCAAACAATAGCTAAATCCTTTTCTCTATAATTAGTGATTGGGGTACGTATGGTTTCAACCACAAAATTTCAATAATCCAAACAACAGCTAAATCCTAAGAAATATTCTTGGAGGATAAGTGAAAAGGAAATTCCTGAAATTTTTTGTCCCTGTATTGTTGGAGGAATGTATGGTTTATTCTATATTAATAGTTAATGGGACAGAGAGAGGCAGGGATCGATGACTACCTACCATACTGAATTCTATGTACGAGTACTAAATACTAATACTAAACAGGTCTTTGATGGCGGTCAACGGCAGGTAAGCCAAGTGCATCAAGGTGATGGGGCTCTTCCATCTCCTTGGTCTCCCGGCTTGTCACACTTCATCCTCCATCCAATGAACAATGAGTTGGGATCAATCCAAACAAAAAGCGACATCCGATCTCTCAATCTTGTGGTAACATACCAATAAATAAATTTATTCAGCTTATTTATGGTCCTTAAGAAGATAGGTTAGGTGCCGAGCCTTGTTAAGAACTGTAGAATATGCACGGTTTAAAATAGATTATTGACCGGTTATTATTGTATTGGATTATCCATATAACTATAAATAAAAATTA